AAGATGAAGCTTAAGAACTGAAAAAACACAAAAAGAAGAAAGAAAGTAGAAGATTGAAGCATCAGAGCAGACTATCAGTAGAAAGAAAAGAAATGAAGTATGAAAAGATGAATTGGGGTAATTATAGAAGATCACAGAAAAAATTAAATACAGTATAACCTTGATATAACAAAACTCTGAGCTGTCAATATATCAAAGTTTTGATATATTGAAGTATCTTACTATAATTAATTTATAAGTTCTGCTAGAAATATTCTTTGTTATAGTGGCTGATTCAGTTTATTGAGGTTCATTATATCAAAGTTATACTATAGTAGCAAAATTTTTAGAATTTATAAAATAGAAAATATATAATGTAATAATCTTACTTTAAGATTAGTGATTTGATGCTTTGCATTATTTGCAAGTACTGGCCAAGGCCAAAGCACAATTATGTTGTGAAATATAAATATAATTAGATAGTACTGATAAGGCAAGTAGTTATCAGCCAATGACCAAAAGGAAATAAATCCTTAATAAGTTAAGAATCCAGAGGGAGGCCAAGAACTACTAAGGCAGGTCATATCTGAGCGAAAGCCAGGTGTGAATCTCTAGTTTAGTTAGATTAGTGATAGCTATAGATAGAAATGTATAAATCTTGAATAGCTTAATTTCAAATAAACAGAGGCAGGATTGCTGAATTATAAAAAAAAAACTTTTTAATATTTTAACTAATTTGCATAAAATTTATATAATATATAATTTAAATTATTTATTTATGATATTGAAGTTGCGCAATATGTATTGCTTTTAAAAAAAATCAACTTTACATAGAATTAAATTTTTATAGATCATTATATAGTATATTTTTTCTAAATAATACAAAGAATTGCTAATACTGATTAGTCAAACCATATGATGTTTACAATATATATAAATCATATGGGATCTTTACTAGCAAAATGTTTCTATAAGCTATTATTATACAAAATTTTTATTAAGAAAAACATAATAAATCTATTTTTAGAAAAAATCCTAGCAAAGATCCTATATGATATCATATATACAAAGTTAATCTACTATACAGTACAATCTATTTTATATGAAATTAGAAATTTATACACTCTACCCTTAAATAGATAATATCTGTAATTGGGTTACAAGTATAGCATATAGTATAAAATCTACAATAGTAGGCAAACTACTTAAATTAAATACTAAAAGTATATATGTAGTTGAATGTACTCTTTAATATCATAGGAGGTTATGTTGTGAGCTTTTCTACTCAAATACTATATTTGAATAAAAACTTTAGGCTCAAAAAGGCTAGTTAATAAAAAAAAATTTTTTTTTATACTATATTTAATAGTTATTTGATACAAAGTGCTGAATAATTAAATTATTTGCTGTATACTATTTGAAGATGCTTAAAAATTAACCAGCAAATCATATAGCAATTAATAGTAAAATATAATAGTATTTTAATATTAGCAAAGCATGATAACACTTTATTAAAATTAGAACACTATTGTATCAAATTTATAAGTACTTTATTTGAATAACTAGATTATTCAGCATTTATATTTATTGAATTTTGTATACTAACTATTGATTAGTTTGAAATTTTATCATTTTTAAGTATATAAGTTATATATATTGTCTGAATATATTTTAAATTCAGTATAAATTTAAAATAATTAAATAATATATATAACTCATATATATAAAAATAATAAAATTTAAATGCTAGATAATAGTTAATAAATGCAAAACCTAATATATAAAAAATCCTGGAGAGTGTGATAACTTAGTGAAGTGGTCAAGTTGTTACTCTCAAGTGGTATGTCTAGGGTTTAAATCCTGTTATAGATAAATTTTTGAATTTCTATCTGTGTTATAGCTATAATCTTTTCTGTTAAGGCTGTATTATGCAAAGTATTTATTAAAGTTGAGGCTTAGTTCTGTAATCTGATATTCACTAATTTAATCAAATTAGAAGAATTCATAGGGTATTTGTATAATATACAAGTTATATGAAGGTATATAAGCTGGCAAAAGAACAGTGCAAACCCAAAATAAGTCTTTATAGCCAGATAATTTTTGAGAAATTCAACAAGATTGATGTTTGTTTGGAAGATCTAAGTGAAGAGGTAGTGCAGTCTTAAATACCTGAATAAACTCTATAAAAGCAAGGTGATTTAGAAGTAGTGTAATCTGCTCATAAAGGTATAAAATTTATTTAATGAAGAATTCTTCTGTGGCTGATCAATAGCTGTCAAATTCACTAGTAAAATAAGTTTACTATTTTAGCTATTATACAGTTTGAAGAAAATTATGTCAATCATTGAATAACAGGCAAAAATAGAAGACACTAGTCTGAGTATCACCTTCTCTTCCTATAACTAGTTGTACTTTAAATTAGTTCCTTAATAGAAAATTAAGAAGTAATTTGTTATATGAAAATGGTTATACAAGATATATAAATAATTAGAATAGTATCACCTTGATATAAAAATTATAACTATCATCATATATATTGCAAAATCAAAAATAAAAAAAAATAAAATAAAATACTGAGTTGATCTATAGTATAAATAGGCAATAAACATAGATTAGTAGATTAGAGTTAGTTTTTTTATATATAATAGGAGTATAATATAAGAATATAATTTTTTTTTAATTTTAAAAGGAAGAATATAAATATTAACCATATAGTCTTATAGAAATTTTATATATTTTTTATATAATATATCTACAGTATTTGTCATATCAATAGTTATCACATATGTGTTTTATAATCAGACAACTCTCTCTAACTATTACTTGTACCAAACTTACAGTTAACGAAAACAGAAACTTGTTAGAAAAAGTAGAAGAACTAACTATAAATAATAGTTTTTTATTTTTAAGTTTCCTCTAGACTCTTTTGTATATTCAGTATGCAAGTTAAAAACGTTTCTGTATAAGATAATTAGCAAGAAGATGATGCTCTTATACAGAAAAGTTTAATAGAGCTTTGCTTCTACTGACAAAGTTAAAGATAGTCAGTTTAAAAAGAACAATAAGCAAGTTTTCAATATGTTCCTTATCAAAATTTAAGGCTATTTGCAAAATGAAACTCTTTTCCATACTCTACTCTTTTGGCTTTTACAAAATTTCCCAAAAAGTGAAAAAACAGTATACCCTATTAAAAAATTGATAACAATAATGCTACTGAAAAAAGAAATATATATATACATGTATATATATGCTTTGGATTATAATATGAGATACTTTTTTATTAAGAAATTGTGGTGATTATACTGAGAATACCTGATTTGCTAATATAGGTCAATGGATAACAGCTTGTTAACTTTGACCAAAAGCTACAGATTAAAATATTGCAAAAGACTTATTAACAGGTTTGGGATAGTATATAGAAGTTTTGATACTTGAAGCTTTACTTCAAGACTAGATGATTTTTAATATTTTTACATCCTAGATATAAACATAAATAACTAATGTAGAGTTTAGTTTAGTTTATTTGTAATACTATATAATTTTTATAATCCAGCATGGGTTTAATAATGCTATTTTTGTTTTCTTTTCTTTTTTTCTTTTTCTTTTCATTATTTGTTTTATTTAATTTTATTGATTTAGGTAGACCAGAACTTGATATTATAATATTTCTTTATTTTTGTTATGCTCTGTATTTGTATTTCATTTTGTAAAAAGAAAAGCTAACTTTGATATGGTGTGTGATACTAGTCTATGACCAAAGGATAACCTCTAATAGGTTAAGGACCCAAAAAGAGACTTTAAGTCTACTGAGGCAAATCATATTTGGCAAAAGTATAAATAAGCTACTTTTCAGATAGATTAGTATAGCTGTTATTAAGAAATGTAAATTTTTTAATATAGTTTAATCTGCAAATAAAAAGTAACAAGACTGCCAAATTATAAAAAAAAATAATCATCATATATATTATATATCTATACTACTGTATATATAATCCAAATACTGTATAAAAATAAATTATTCTTTAAAGCTTAAAGGTAGATGTAAATATTTATATATAAAGTTAAATACTAAAAACTTTACTTAATAGTTCAAAACTAGTTTTTATAATAAAATTTTATAATATTAATAATTTTTTAAAAAATTTATTTATTTTGTTATACAAGATTCTGAAATCTGATTGGTAAATTGTAGGGTAATTAACATCACCAAAAAAGCAAGTTAGCAATACTCTAGATTTAAAATCAAATTCAAATAAATTGATATTAATAAGTCATCTGTATTATAATTATAATATCAGATTTTTTTATAACGCTCTCAAAATTAAAATATATTGTTTGTAATATAATTCAGATTTAATTTTAAAATTATATTTTGAAACCTAATAAAAAAAAAAAACTAATATATTAGCATAATCTTTCAGGTTCTTAATTTTATATTTTTAATTTTACAAAACATGATCAAGATATTTAATTGCCATGACTAGCCAACTTTTTATTAACAAGTTCATACAATTCAAGATATTAATTTTTATATAATTTACCAGTTGAGAATCGTCGCATCGACAAGATAGGAAAGTCACAGAGGGTAACAACCTATGCGACTTATAAGTAGGTTCTAATCGTTTATCTAACAATGTGAAATGTTTATTATATAAAAAAAATAAATGTATATATGTGTATATATGATGAGCTATGTGTATTGGTCCAATTAAGAGGGTTCGGTATATAGAGAGGTTCGGTAATATAGAGGTTCGGTATAAAGAGAGTTGTCTGTATGGTCTTTTAATACCAAAAGAATCGCCAGTAGATTACCAAAGAAAATACCGATACTATAAACGCTATAGGTCCGTACTTGCGATAAAGAAGTTGTAGATTAAGATCATGAGCGGTTTTTTTGTATTTCTGGGATTCATAACGAAGTTGATCAGAGAGAGAACTCATTTCTTTTAAATGAAAATAAAATTCATAAAATTATATAAAAACATTATTATTATTATTTGAAGATAATACAGTTTAATTAGTTAAAATTTCAAAATAATTATTTGAACTGACAGATAATACTTGCTTTCTAATCCTTCGCCGCGCCACAAAACGTTTTCCAAATTTTTAGTCATGATATTGGCTACCTCATTCAGTTCGGTATTTAGTCGCTCAATGTTGTGCTGCGTTCGTGTGTTTTGATAAACCTTTTTTGTTTTTTGCATAAAGGTATCTGATTATGATCATACCGCATAAGCATTAGTGGTCAACATTGTCAGGATTTCCAAACCAAACACGTAAATCACGTAAATTCTCAATTCTTCAAAAGGCTCGGATAGATAATATGTACCAAATTTAACAAAAGCATATGGTCTTAAATTTTTTTTTTCGACTTCGTTCCCATAACTCATTGAAAATTCTTTAGCAAGTTCTTCCAAGTAACTAAAGGCAAATTGACGAGGGTATGAACGATCGCAAATTGTCATATAACAAACGCCATTTTGGATAATGTAGCTACGATTGAAGAGCATAAAAATTTAGTATCAGAAATATCAGAAATTCAGAATTTTCAGTAGAAATAAAAAAACGTTTACATACTGAAAATAATAACTTCCTGATTCAAATGAACATCTTTCTTCAGAATTTTCATTCATTTTTTTGAAAAGAAGTTTTGCTTTATTTTTGTAATCTGCAAGCTCAGCCTCCCCATTCTAGATGTAGATTAGGGGCAGTTAGTGCTAAATACTTGTTTAAATACTAATTATCATTTTATCATTTTTTTTTTTTTTTTAGAAAAGAAAAGTTCTCGCTAGACGAAGTATATGTTGTTACTCCAGTTTTTATATAAAATAAGGACAGATCCAATCTTACCTGATCATCGTCTACTGAAGCTGCCAATGGGAGGCCTAAGGAAATTTCCTACTTAGTACTTTTAGAAGGGGCGAACAAAATATGAAACAAATTAACCACTTGCCATCAGAAATACGAGCAATGACTGTATGTTTAACCATTTTTTTTTCAGTGTCTTGCCTCTCAGTCTTTATTAATATAACTTATGTATAGTCCTATACAAACGGTTGCTCACTCTTATACATATACGTTATAATCACGAGACTCAGACAACTTTATCTGTCACATACATACGTACGTATTACGCATTAACCATTTAATAGATAGAAGTGGATTTACGTGATATATGTCCAATCAAATTATAGAATTTTGATGATTACCGGCGAAGCAAAACAAGAAAGAAAAGCGAAAACCTGAAAAATACAAAAAACGGCAGTCTAAACCTACCTTGGTGGGTTAAGTAAAAATGTCAGGAAGGCAATTTTGCATATATATAGCTACATAAATCCTACAGTTAATTTAATGAAATATATATTATAAGAATCTACTCCGCTTTAGGTATTTCCCTTTAAATAGAAAATTGTAATAGGTGTCAAAAAATGATTGGTCAAAGAAGAAATTTTTTTTTTTTGCAACAAATGTTACAACGGAATGCCTTAAATAGAAAATTGTAGTAGATGTCAAAAAATGATTGGCCAAGTTTAGGCTAATTTATTTAAAATAAAATCACCGACAGGTCTCGCCGAGAATCGAACTCGGATCGCAGGATTCAAAGTCCTGAGTGATAACCATTACACCACGAGACCGGAACATGGAGTTGCTACCAAATCTAAATTTATTGAACATAATTATTATATTACATATTAGGTCAAAGAAATTTATCATGTGATAAAGGCGTACAAAATCTTTTTTTTTGCATAAGTTAAAATCAATATCACTTTCCAACCGACCTTCCTTCTTTTTTCGAAATTCTCGACTATCGTCATGAAGTGAGTTCTGTTACTTTCATTCTTAAAAACCTTTTAAATGATAAATTGTTGTTTATTTTTAAGAACTTATTTTTTAAAAAAATACTAGGATCGAGAGCGATACATTTTCGGGTAACAAGATCTACCCAGGCAAAGGCAAACTTTATGTCCGACAAGATAATAGGGTTAGAATTATGTCACTTTCTTCAGATATGTTCAATTTAGAACAAAGTAATAGGCTTGACCATGTGAATTATATCATAAATCAGCGGAAAGGTCTTAAAAAAAAAAAAAAAAAAAAATTTAAATTTGTTGCATCCACTCATATGTAGCGATCAAAATTCACACTAGATTTTCCGATTCGTCGGATCAAAAACCGAATCCCTATTCCTTCAACGATTGAATCCACGTAAGATCAGTTGGACTCAAGTATACCGTCGTATGCATAAAAAAGGTATAACCGAGGAAATTGCCAAAAAACGTACCCGTCGATCGGTTAAGCATCAACGAGCAATTGTTGGAGCGTCGTGGGAAGTCATTAAGGCTAAACGTAATCAAAAACCTGAAATGAGAGAGGCCGCTCGTGCGCAAGCCCTTCGTGAAGCCAAAGAGAAAAAAAAACAAGAACAATCGAAAAGAAAAGCTGAAAAAGCTAAGGTTATTATCTTTATAATAAATCAGTTTTTTTTTTTTTCGATTCAAATATACATTTTTCTTAAAACTACTTTTTTATATAGGTTGCACAAACAGCTTCTCGCGGACAGCCTAAAATCTCGAAACAACAAGCTCGTGGTGCCCAGGCAAAAGTATCCGCTAAAAGTCGTTAAACTTAATTGTAAAGATGGTAAAGTTAGCCTAGGTTTGGTTTAGATTCTAAACCCTTTAGATTCCAAATTAAAAACAAGAATCAGGTTTTTATTTAATAAGCTCCAAACCTAAGTTAAAGCTGGTTTGGTTCAGGGTCAAAATTTAAAGCCCGATTCTCAGTAATTTTGCAAGACATAAAAATAAAAAATATATTAGTAAAAAGCTACTTAATTCATATCAAACTTTTAAATATATCTTCTGAATAACTTTACTTAATATGCTAATATTGATTTATTTAATAAAAATCTTGTACTTTTATAAGGTAAAAGGAGATAATATGGCAGGTTTGGTAAAGTGGCAGATCGGCTAATATCGAAGTTAACACAAAATTTATCAAATAGAGTCTAATGATTCTTATATCATTCAATTTGTCCCGCCAAGATTAATCGAAGGATGTAAAAAAAAATTCATTTATAATTACCAGATTACAAAACAATTATATAAAACTTTTAATCATATATCGAGAGTACTCGATCCCGTCGTATGTTACACGGGTTAAGGTGACTATCAACCAAAATGATAGATTTTAAAAACGCACTTGTATGTTTTTTTATACTAATAATATTAACGCTTAAGTGGAAATAGAAACTCATAAAGGATAGCATCCTACCTGCACATCAAATCTTTTTTTATAAATACAAGCATTTTTCGGAATAATCGATGGGATCAAGAGCTGTTCGTAAGCAATATCGCTGAAAGGATCATAATCACAATTTAATTTTGGGTGAGAAGTATATAAAGCTTCGCGAATATCTTTGATTGAGTGCTGCAGGAGAAAATAAGTATCTCTTGCAGTATGGGTGACACCTATTCTAAAATCAATTGATTCATAATACATTTTATTAGTGGCGTCACCTATACTGCAAGAGATCTGAAAATAAGCCCGAAGTCATATAAACAACGGATATTATAAAACAAAATCTTCCATGTGCTGCTTGTCCATGTGATATAGTAGTACATTCTTACGTTTCAATAACTTGGATTTTCATACGTAATATATAGTATTAGCACTACGCTAGCTTTATTAAAACTAAAAGTAGACTCTGCATAAAGTTTACTGATATGACATATAATCAAATGATCACGTTTCTTACATGAAATTACGCAAAATTACGGTAATTTTACATCCAAGTACACGCCAAATTCACAGTAATTTCACCGTCGCGTAACGATTGTCGACAAATTGGCTAATAGTATTAATGCAACATAACAGTATTTGTTAACCCCTGTGAATTATATCATGTGATATGCGACAAGAGTGCTAAGTAGCGCTGAATACGTAGTACTAACTATCGCTAAATAGCATAGATAATACCACTAGTTATATTATGTTCAGCAACCTAGTTGTAGAAATTAAATGCTTCAGCATACTCTTGCTATTTTTCGGAATCTTCGCTGTGCCACTTAATAAACCTTTTTTTTTTTTTTTTAACTGCTGAAGCTTCAACTTCAGTTGCGTCAGCTCCCACTTTTATCTACTCAAAAACCCTGAGAAGCTTTAAATTTAAATGAGTGAAAAACGGAGTAGCAGTATTCATTATGGTTTTGTTAAACGTTAAAAGATTGGCTTTTTCGTATCAAAAGATCGATTATTTGTTTTAAAAACTTATAAAATTAAAAACACTTTTTTTTGGATCGGATAAAAATTTATCGAGAGTTCATTTTTTATTATGTTCGATACATAAAAAATGTAGAAAAAAGGTGGTTTATATCTTTCTGATTTTTTGTTAACCAATTAGAACTCTTATCAGTCTATATTGAGAATACCCTTAGAGTGTTCTCAAGTATCTCTCTCAATGTGATTAGCTAATTATCGAGATCGTGAACAAATATTAAGATTAATTAAAGTAATCCTTACGTGAACAACTACTGATTAATTAAAAGTAATCTATGGTGAAGGATCGTGAACAAATACTAATCAAAGTAATCCTTACGATTCATATTGCGAAATGCGGATCGCGATAATAAGCTCACTTGACCGGTTAAACTAATTTCCACTATAATATATAATTAATATTGAGCTCCGACCGATTAACTTTAGGTCAAAGTTAATTGGACATATGTCCAAAACCAATTGGACATATGTCCAAAACTAAATGTGGCGCAGTTTTTTGTCCAGCTTCCCAACACTGCTTTAGGTGCTTGTAGTCAATAGATTATATATATATAGTATACAGTATATAACAATCTTTCTCATATTGTCCTAAAGTCAAATAATTAATGATACCAATAAAATTTATATTTTAATTTATACAATGGCCGGATATTTTACACGGAATTACAACCCATAAACTTTTCTATTACATATAACCATGCCTACACAATATGGGTATTTTATAAGTTTTTTTTGTTGGGATATTTTGTATCAAACCTGAGTCTTTTAATCAGTGCGATATTGTTTTTGCGATATATTAGATATCGAAAATGTGACATGCGTTACGGGTAAGCTTATCGTTATGTTTATAAATGGCGTTAACCTTATGAATTAATTCTATCACGGAGAAAGCCACAACAGATTTTCAAGTAATTACTGGAACTTGATACGAATCGATTATGTCAACTACTGTCGGTGATATCATCAACTGATTACGATTAGTTGATTTATAGTTGCACAGTACGCATTAGATGATGATTTATAATACGTAACAATACTTTTGATTAACAGTTTAAATAAAATGACCGATTATATTTTGATGACGTTTCAACTAATCGGCCAATCAATTTACTAGTAGAAAACATCATTTTGAGAGTTCATTGTACAAACATATTAGGAGGTTATGATTCAAAATTCACGCATTTATTTATTAATTTGAATTACATACTTGAATTATAGTTCCAATTTTAGTCGATTTTGATGATGAATGTTCTTCAGAACCCATGTAACTATTTTTAAAAAATTATGACATTTATTACCAGTATACTTTACGTATTAAAAAAAAACATGAGATTTTTTTTAGAATTGATGATTAATAAAAGTGTCTATATATTGTTTTGCAATACGCATATACGAATCTTTGCCTCAACAATGAAAACATCTAATTTATTTTACCAAAACTTATTAAAACAGCTTAAACTATATGTTAACTAATCTCGTATGTATTATATAATTAGTAAGCCATTTTAAATAATTATAATTAATGCAAATCCCAAAACTAATAATAAAAATTCTATATATTCAGATTAGCGTTGATTATTAAACTAAAGCACCTCAGATAAAACATTAACTGTTAACCAATACCTTAGGATGCTTAAAAATTATGTAATTAAATTTTTAGCAATCATTCAATGAATCCTGGCATTAAGAGCAGTCTCAAACTTCTTATAATAACCCTTTTCGTCATAATCAACCGATTTCTTTGCAGATTTTCGCCTGGGCCGCCTTTTTGGTCGTAAAGGATCATCATCGTTTAGTTTTTTTTGTTTTCTTGATGTGGATTCTTCTTCCGATGATGATAATACCTCATAAAAATCATCGAAAATTTTGTGTACTTTTTTATAATATTTTTCATCGCTGTAATTAATTTTTTTAGATGTCACATGACGCTGTGGTAATCTTCTCTTAGGCGAATATTCTTCTGATGAGTCAGAAAATCCTTCATCTTCCTCTTCACTAGAAGTTGGTTGATACATATCTTTTTCGTCCTAAGTATCGATATTTTAATGAAGTACCAGTTTTATACAATTTGCCTTAACATATATGTACTTGTACCTTTGCATGCTCATTCTGTTGATCCGAATCACTATTTTCTGACAAAGATTCACTTTCGTGCAATGTAAACGGTTCAGTAGTAATTATTACTTGAGCTTGATATTTAGGAATTCTTTCGTCAACGTCAGAACCATTAGAAGAGTGTTCCGAATCGGAAACTGCCATCGCAGCTCTTTTAGAACGAGTCCTCTTTGGCATTTTGGTCAGTAAGAATGAGTGAC